AGCTCTTTTCCATCGCATCGTCTGAATACCGACATGACGGAGCCCTCGCTGCCCCTCCGTGCGTCGCCCCCCCCCTCTTACGCGTCCTCCCCGAGCGGACGTCCGTCCACGGCGCAGCTGGGTGCACGCCTGCCTCGCGCCCAGGTAAAACGACGCGAAGATCGGGATAAAATCGGATCGGGATAACTCGAAATCTCTGAGAATCGGCGGGTTTGGAGGATGTATTGGGCGCCGCGGCCGCTCCAGAGCGTTCCGGAACGCTCTGAGAGCGCTCCGGGACGCTCTGGAGCGACTAATCCCGATCCTAGCCCTGTCTTACCAGGGCCCTCCGCTGCGCGAAGGACTGCCGCGAAGGGGCGCCGGCCCCGAGGGTGGGGAGGCACCGAGCTGGAGTCGGCAGGGCATCGCCGATGGATCGTCGACAGGCCCCAGCCGACCAGCCATAACTGGGGGGGCTGTGGTCCTTACCCCCCTGGGGGAACCCATCGCCTCGACGATCTCTCGAGAGGGGTGTCGAAATCGATGGGCCCCCCTGGGAGGTAAGGACCACAGCTCCCCCGGTTGTGGCTGGCCTGCCCAGATGGCGACTCCGGACGGTCCTGGGGGGCAATCTCAGACCCCAACGGCAGGTTCGCGTCTCGTGCCGACGTCGGCGCTGGCTTCTGACACCGCAAGGATGGTACAACCTTGAACGATCGGCCGCTTCCCAAACTGAAGGGGCCCCAGGCCATACAAATAAATGCACACAAAATAAAAGGATTCCCCATATTTCCCATATTTCCGGGGTTTTTGTCTTCCCCCCCACTTCCCATACTTTCCCATATTTTCCTGGGAGTCGACGATTAATTGTGTCTGTGTGTTGTCTCCTCTCCTGAAAGGATGGTACAACCTTGAACGATCGATCGTTTCCCAAACGTTCGATCGCTCAACCTCGGCCAAGTCCGAGCCGGCGGCGGCGGCGTTCAGCGCTGAACGCTGGCGGCGGGGCCGCCGCCAATCGGTACGGCACGAGCCTGCTGCACCTGGGGCGTCAAAAGAGATCGGCTACCGCGACTTGCTCCCCAGACGCCTACCAGGGGCGCATCCTGACCAGCATTCCGAGGAAGAGCCAGCCAAGGCGGAGAGGGCTCTCCAGGACGAGCAGCGGTATCAGCATCTCTTCCTCCTCCGGCCACCGAGCGCGCCAGCGCGCAGCCAAGACGACAACCGCCGGTGAGCGACGTCGACGAGGCAGCCGGGCCCAAAAAAACCTTGTTTTGGGTCGGGAATGTCCCCCTACAGGCGGATTTTGGGTGAAAAATGAAAATACTCATTTATACACATATATATATATACTAGAACCACGCGCGCGCTTCGCGCGCGCTTAGGTTCTAGCTAGGAGGCGAGCTTGAGTCAACGAAAGTCGCAGGGAAGGGGGCAGGGGGAAGAAGGCCAGAGAGCGCTGAAGGATACAAATACTGGAACCCTCTTGTGATTTTGTGGGGGGCCTCGTCCGGCCGCTCGCTGGGAGTTTGACGTAGCTTCTCGGGAGCCTCTGAACCTGTCGGGGGCCTCCTGGAAGCAGGTTCGAAGCATTTTGGGGGCCGATTTGGGGCTTCTCGGGGCCTCCTTTGGGCCTCTTGGGGGTCTCCTGGGGCCTCTTGAGGGGCCTCCTTGGGGCCTCCTGGCGGCCTCTTGGGGCGGAAGGCTCGAGCTTGCGGTTCGTGGTCCCCCTCTGGGCCCCCTCTTGGGCCCGTCTTGGGGCCCTCTTGGGCCATCTTGGGCGCCTCTTGGGCCGTCTTGGGGCCCTCTTGGGCTGTCCTGGGGCCCTCTGGGAAGCTTCTTGGGCCGTCTTGGGGCGGTCTTAGAGGCCTCTTGGGCCGTCTTGGACGCGGTGAAAGCCCAAGATGCGAACATGCGAAACATATACGTTTTCCCATGGGAATAGCACGATGCTTGTTTCTCGGACCTCTCTTGAGGTGCCTCTCGGAACGTCTTGGGCTGATTTTGGAAGCCTTTTGGCGCCTCTGGGCGGCGTTTTGGCGCCTCCTGGGATATGTTGGGCCGGAAGCTCGGAATTCGAGAGTGGCTTTCTCCTTCTGGGACCCCTCTCGAAGTCGTCTTGGGGTTCTCTTGGGCCGTCTTGGGGCCGTCCTGAGCCACTCGTGCGCAGCCTTGGAGCGCTCCCGGAGGCCTCCTAGGCCGTCTTGGAGGCCTCTTGGGCCGTCTTGGACGCGGTGAAAGCCCAAGATGCGAACATGCGAAAAATATACGTTTTCCCATAGGAATGGCACGATTTTTGTTTCTTGGACCTCTCTTGGGGTGCCTCTCGGAACGTCTTGGGGTGCTTTTGGGAGCCTTTTGGCGCCTCTTGGCGGCATTTTGGCGCCTCCTGGAGCCTCTTGGGCCGGAAGCTCGGAATTCGAGGTTGGCTTTCTCCGTCTGGGACCCCTCTCGAACTCGTCTTGGGGCTCTCTTCGGCCGTCTTGGGGCCGTCCTGGGCCACTCGTGCGCAGCCTTGGAGCGCTCCCGGAGGCCTCGTAGACCGTCTTGGGCGCCTCTTCGGCCGTCTTGGACGCGGTGAAAGCCCAAGATGCGAACAAGGGGAAAATATACGTTTTCCCATCGGAATGGCACGATTTTTGCTTCTTGGGCCTCTCTTGGGCTGCCTCTCGGAGCGTCTTGGAGGCTTCTGGGACCTTCTTGGTGTCATGACAGGCGTCTTGGAAGGCATCTGGAGCCATCGGAGCGCGTTCCTGGTAGCTTTTTGTAAGCCTCAGGGGCGCACTTGGGTTGTTTTAGGCGCCTCATCGGCCGTCTTGGGGCTCTCTTGGGCTGTCTTGGGGCCCTCTGGGGCGCCACTTAGGTTGTCTTGGGGCGGTCTTGGGAGCCTCTGATGTGGTCAAGAACTATACGACAGCGAAAACAATTGAGGTAGTAAAAATATACGTTTTGCGAAGGGAATGGGGCTATTTTGCCCTTTTGGAGATCTCTTCGGGCGCGTCTTGGAGGCCTTTTGGGGCGTCTTGGCGGCTTCTGAAGCCGTCTGGGGCGATGTTGGGCGTCTTGGTGCGACCATTGGGCGTCTCGGGTCGCGTTTGGAACGTCCCGAGTCCTTTCTGGTAGCCTTTTGTGGGCCTCAGGGCCGCACTTGGGCTGTTCTGGGCGCCTCTTGGGCCGTCTTGAGGCTCTCTTGGGCTGTCTTGGGGCCCTCTGGGGCGCCTCTTGGGCTGGCTTGGGGCTGTCATGGGGGCCTCCGGCGTCGTCATGAACTGTACGGCAGCGAAAACAATCGATGTAGTAAAAATATACGTTTTACGAAGGGAACGGGGCTATTTTTGCCTTTTGGAGATCTCTTCGGGCGCGGCTTGGACGCCTATTGGGGCGTCTTGGGGGCTTCTGAAGCCGTCCGGAGGCAATGCTGGGCGTCTTAGAGCGACCTTTGGGTGTCTCGGGTCTCTCTTGGAGCGTCTTGGGGCTCTCCTGGCGTTTTCTAATGGCATTCTGTGGGCCTCCGGCGCCTCCAGAGCCCCCGGTCCCCACATTTGCGGTCGTGGTCCCGGCCCCGGGCCCCCGGACCCGGTGCGCCGTTATGTATATATATATATATATATATATATATATATGTCCCCCCCCCCCCCAAAAAAAGCATGCTTTGAGTTTTCCTCTTGTAGAGGGACAGGCCCGACTTTAACAATGTGGCGACAGACCGCGTGGTGGCCTCGGAACCAACAAAGAACTCACCGCGCGGTCCGCCACCGAACGGCTTTTCTTTGTAGAGGCCTCGGAGGCCCCAATCGCTCAAGACGGCCTCGAGGAACGGCCTGAGCGACCCGATATCCCCACTGACTCACCACCCCGGGGATCCGACGTCGAGATGTTCTCAACGCGCGGTGCCCCGCAGTCTCGACCCCGTCCCCAGGACCGGCTTTTCATCCGGAGTCGTTTTTGTGACGGTCCCAAGGCCCGCGAGGGCCCCTAGAGGCCGAGAGTTGAGACAAGCCTCCGTCTTTGGTGTTTTCAATGCGTTGGCTCTCTGGGACCGTGGCCCTCCTCCAAATGTTCGGCTTCTGGGCAAGAGCTCGGGAGCGGCCAAGAGGGGGGTGTCCAAGAGGGGGTGGGGGGGGGGGCAAATCATGACCGGCGGCATGTGCGCGGCCCAGCGGGGGGAACAGGGACGTACTGAAATATAAGGAGCGGCGCCATGAAATCTGCGGACAGACCATGGCCCCCGCCATGATATCCCCCCCCCCCTAGCCATCGCCCCCCTCTTTTCCGCCCCCGAAGAACTCGTGCCTCCCGCGGCCGCTCGGGACGGCCCGGGCACCCCAAGGAAGGCTCTCGGCGAGGTGCCCAGCCGCCCGCGTGCCTCTCCCGAGGCGCGCAGACCCACGGGGACCGGCGAGAACGCCCGTCGGTCGCCGTGATGCTCCAATGCTCCACCATGACACTACCACTGGTGGAACGGGGGAGGAGGGAGGAGGAGGTCCTCCTCCTCCTCCTCCTGCTTCCTCCTCCTCCTCCTCCTCCTCCTCCTCCTCCTCCTCCCCCGCCTCCTCTCCCTCCTCCTCCTTCCTCCTCCTCCTCCCTCCCCCTCCTTCCTCCTCCTTCTCCTCCATCCCCTCCCTCTCCCCCTCCCTCCTCCCCTCCTCCTCCTCCTCCTCCTCCTCCTCCTCCTCCTCCTCCTCCTCCTGAATCCTCCTACCTAAGAGCGACGTCCTGATTTTTTCAGGACGGCGTCCTGTAAAGTCCAGACCCTTTCCTCGGGACCGCTTTTTTGTCCTGAGTCGTTGTTTGAGGGTCCCCCCGAGGCCCAGCGAGGGCCCCTCGGGGCCGAACATAGCCCAAATCCTCCCGTCCTGATTTTTTCAACGACGCGATCATGTCTGGGTATGGTATAGTGGTGGCGGAAGATCGACCCATTACACCACACCGTCTGCAGTCTGGGCGCCCCAAAGGGAGCGCCGGCGAGCGACGACGGCTGGCGCCCACTGGCGGAGCGGGGAGGAGAGCCCCAGGGCCTCGCCCATGTACTTCCGGCCGTCGGTCCTGGCGGCGGGCGGCGGCCGCGGCCCCGGCAGCGGCCACGGCGGCAACCTCGGCGGCCGACGCCGTCGACAACGAGGAGGACGAGGACGAGGACGACGAGGACGAGGGCGAGGAGGAGGAGGAGGAGGAGGAGGCAGACGAGGACGACGAAGGCGAGGACGAGGACGAGGACGAGGACGACGTTGATGACGACGACGAGGACGAGGACGCGGTGGCGGAGGCGGCGAAGGGCGGCGCGGGCCCGGGCGGAGGCGCGCCCGAGGGGGGTGGGTCGGGCGCACGCTGCAGCAGCAGCGCTGGGCGCCAGAGACGGCCTCTGCCCAGGGTCGGGCACAGGGCCCTCTCCGAGGCCCATGGAATGACCTCTGGGCCAATTGAGCGTCCCAGGCATCTCAGTTGGGCGATGGGCAGTGGAGATGCTGAAGATATCACTGGTGATGCTACTGTGCCATGGAGCTGCGTTGTGCTTCTCTGCGCTGCGCCGCGCCCTACAGTGATGTGCAAAGGGACGCTCCACTGAAGGTGCCAGGGGACGCGCCGCGCGATGTGCCAGGGGGACGCGCCACGGAACGGGCCAGCGGACGTGCCAGCGGGCGTAGCAGAGGACGTGCCGGGGGACGCGCCGAGCGAAGTGCCCAGGGGAGGCGCCATGGAGAGTGCCAGGGAACGTGCCCCAGGGTCACGGTTCCTCGTGAACTACACTGGGCGATGGTCGATAGGTAGTGGCAATACTGAGGATTACGAATGGTGCTATGCACTGTGCCGCACCGCAGTGACGTGCCAGGGGACGCGCGACGGAACGTGCAAATGGACGTGCTTTGGAACGCACGGCGCGATATGTGCGGCAATGCTGGAAAAATCGATCGTGATGTACCGTGCCAGAGGTTCTACTGTGCAGTGCAGTACTGAAATGAGATGTGTCATGCCACGATCAATTGCGTTGTGCTCTGTAGTGTTGTGAATCAAGCCGCGCTTAGAATCCGAATCATGAGCGCACTGATCTGGATCGTAACCTCGCGCTGCTTGAGCGAATGGCTGGCGCAGACCTGCTTAAGATCGCAACGTGTTGGACGCTCAATCAGATCGAGCTCAAGATCCGATCCAGTTCCGACGCGAGACGAGACGACACGGGGCGCAGGGCGCATGGACGCGAAACGGAGGCTGCCACGGAACGGACAGGGAAAGCAAAGAGATTAGATTCACGCTTGTCCGGCCCTGGGGCGTTAGGACCCCATGTGTTCTCACGCTTGCCCCGCTTTGGTGCGTTAGGCACCCACGTGGTTTCACGCTTGTCCCGTTCGGGGGCGTTAGGAAGCCACGTGTGTTCACGCTTGTCCTTCTCTGGGGCGTTTGGAACCCATGTGGTTCACGCTTGCCCCGCTCTGGGGCGTCAGAAACCCATGTGGTTTCACGCTTGTCCCGCTCTGGGGCGTTAGGAACCAACGCGAGTTCAATATTGTCTCGCTCTGGGACGTTACGAACCCACGTGTTGCCAAGCATGTGGGGCGTCAAGAGCCTTGTTTTCACGCTTGTCCCGCTCTGGGGCGTTAGGAACCCTAGGCACATACTTGTGTTCACGTTTGTACCGCTCTGGGGCGTTAGGCACCTATGTTCACAGCTGTCCCGCTCTGGGATACACATAAAACAAAAGGATTCGAGCCCCAGCAGAGGAGCAATCTACAAGACAACACCGACGTTTCGAACGAGACATACTCAACAAACTCTACAAAACAAGCGTTTCACTTGAAACATCCACATTGCACGAAACTGTTCACCTCACCATGTCTTTTGTCGATTGGGATGACAAAACCAGCGTTTCGTTCGGGAGGTCCTCAAAATTTAATCAATCGGCCCTCTTCGGCCTCGCTATTTCTCTCAGAGAGAATATCAGCCGACCACCTTGGACTCTGGCACCGAAGACAGACTACCACCCTGAAAGAAAGCTCTGGGCCGGCGCCCTTTCTGGGACAAAATGATCTTGCGAGTATGAGCACCGTCGTTGTGAGAATCGCCTTCGGTGGATCTCCTTCTGGGACCACGAAGCGCGTGAGGGGTGTGCAGATAAGGGGCGGGGCCGCCATGCGGGCCGCGCCAACGGGGCCGTAGTCCATATGGGGCGACGAAAGGTGTGATCGGCGTGTGCCGAAATAGGTGGTGGGAACGCATGCGGGTGGGGCCACGAGACGCGGGAGGGGTGTGCCGAAAGGAGCGGCTGGGACGCCTGCGGGCTGGGCCACGGGGGCCTTCGGTGAACCTCCGGCGAGGCCACGCAGCGTAGGAGGGGTGTGGCGAAATGCTGGCGTGCGCCCGATCCTGGCACTGCCCGAACTCTCGCAGTGAGACTCTTGCCGTCGCTCGGACGTCCATTTCCCATGCACTTTTCGGCTTCGTGCGTGTTTTTTTTTTGCTCGATGGTCCAGGATGGTCCTCGATGGTCCTCGCCGAGAAAAAATGCACACGTCCGAGCGATGCCAAGGACTGACGAGCACGTGGGGAACGAAAGAAAGAGCAGGCGGGATGCCTCGTCGCGGATCCGGCGCGCGGGCGCCAGGCCCACGGATCTCGGGGGGGGGGACGCACGAGGCCAACGCCGCACGGGAGCGCGCCTGGCCTGCGCGAAAGCGGAGGCCGCCGCGAATCCACACACACCTGGATCCTCCTCCTCCTCCTCCTCCAAGCCCCCCCCCACCTCGACGCGCAATAAAAACGACGGCATCAACATAAACTGTCAGAAGTCCGCGCGGATTGCTTGGATCGGCGCTGGACCCCCTCCCTGCCGCGCGGAGCGCGCCAGGGGCGGCGCCAGAGGCTCCGAGGGGTGTCCACCGCAGATCGAAAAAGTCCGCGCCAACCTCCGAAAGCGTATGATTATACAGTTTCTTCATCTTGAAACCTCCTCCTTCACCTGATCCCCGACGACGAGGCGGCGGCCACGTCGTCGGCGACGGCGACGGCGTCGAAGCCGAGGGCGGCGGCGTTGCCGCCGATGGCGCGCACCACGGCGCGGCGGCAGCGGGGTCCACGTCATCGTCCCGGTGGGGCCCATCTGGTTCCGCGTCCAGACCCTGGGGGACCGTGCGCCAGCAGCGGTCGAAGGGGGGGAAGTTGAGGGAAGCCGAAGAGGGGGGGTGGCTTTGAGGGGGGGATGCATTGCCGATGGGTCGGCGATATGTTCCCGATGGCCGGCCGGGACACCCACGTTCTAGGGCCGGCCAGGACACCCGGGCCCCGATCGGCAAAGAATGCGCGTTTGGGAAAGCCGTTTCCCCCCTGAGCCACGTTCCCCCTGTCGGCCCCCCTGAGAGAAGCCCCCTCCTCCTCCTCCCCTCCTCCTCCTCCTCCTCCTCCTCCTCCTCCTCCTCCCTCCTCCTCCCCCCTCCTCCGACTCCTCCTGCTCCTGCTCCTCCTCCTCCTCCTCCTCTTCCTCTTCCTCCTCCTCCTCCCTCCTCTCCTCCTCCTCCTCCTCCTCCTCTTCCTCCTCTTCCTGCTCCTCCTCCTCCTCGTCCTCCTCCTCCTTTTCCTCCACCTCCTCCTCCTCCTCCTCCTCCTCTCTCCTCCTCCTGCTCCTCCTCCGACTCCTCCTGCCCTGCTCCTCCTCCTCCTCCCTCCCCTCCTCCTCCTCCTCCTCCCTCCTCCTCCTCCTCCTCCTGCTCCTCCACCTCCTCCTCCTCCTCCTCCTCCTCCTCCTCCTCTTCCTCCCTCCTCCTTCTCCTCCTCCTCCCTCTTCCTCCTCTTCCTCCTCCTCCTCCTCGTCCTCCTCCTCCTGTTCCTCCACCTCCTCCTCTTCCTCCTCCTCCTCGTCCTCCTCCTCATCAGCATCATCAGCATAATCAGCATCATCATCAGCATCATCATCATCATCATCATCATCATCATCATCATCATCATCATCATCATCATCCTCCCATCCTCATCCTCATCCTCATCCTCATCCTCATCCATCATCATCATCATCATCATCATCATCATCATCATCATCATCACCATGATCTTCCTCCTCCTCCTCCCCCTTTTCCTCCTCCGCCTGCTCTTCCTCCTGTTTCTCCTCCTCCTCCTCCTTCTCCTCCTCCTTCTCCTGTCCCTTCTCCTCCTCCGTTTCCTCCTCTTCCTCCTCCTTCATCCTCCTCCACTTTCTCCTCCTCTCTCCCTCCCTTTCCCCCTCCCTCATTCACTCCCTGCCCCCCTCCCACTCCCTCCTCCCACATCCCCAGATAAATCCCCAGGGTGTCCTGGCACGACCAAAAATAATTGCTGAAGGACCTCGTGCTTCCATACGCTTTGCAGGGGCACTCCCTAGCTCAAAGTCAACGAACCTCTCGGGCCCTGTGTTCGACACCGCCCCCGGTACGCCTCGGCCGTAACTTTAGCCTCCTCGTCCTCCTCCTCCTCCTCCTCTTCCTCCTCCTCCTCCTCCTCCTCCTCCTCCTCCACCCCCCTCCTCCTCCTCCGTTTAAAAAAGGACTGGGCCTGTTTAATGCTTCTGAAAACGAAAAAAAAGAAAGGTATAGATATCGAGGGATATTGAGCACGAGGGAGAATGGAATATCGAAAGCGAGATAGGGAGAGGGCGAGAAATACATAGATGTTCCATATCACATGGTTTTGAAAGCCACCCTGCTCCCGCTGAATCCGCGCAGAATAGAGACCCCGAGAGCGACTGCATGCGGTTGGCATTTTGCCGACGCCAAAGGCGGATCAGCTACACCCACAAGAAGCTACAAACTTGCGTTGCGCAAGGTGGAAACAGACTTACCGAATTCAACCAGCGCGTCCTTGACAACCCTCCGCATGCTCCAAATCCACGCCCATATATATATATATATATATATATATATATATATTCGGCACCTATTTCAGCCCGAAGAATGCACGGAGTCGGGTCGACATCTATGCTCAGAGGCGCCACCGACTGGCACGCGCGGGACCCGTCCGTCAACAGCACGAAGTTCCCCGGCACAAGCACCCATGACATGATGTCATCGCACTCCGCTGCGCTCAGCTGACAACCGCTTGCCCGTGGCTCGCACGCGCGCTCAGAGAGCTCGAAAAAAACATTCCCAGGTGGCGGCTGCCGCGAGGACAGACGCAAATGAAGCGACGGCGCAGAAGCCTGCAGCGCCCGAGAGGGCGGTTGCCGCACGACTTCTCGGAGTATGCCATCGGGCATGCGACGCGGGAAACTCGCATGGAAGCTTCGTCTGCCTCGATCAGCGAGCCTGGCCCCACTTGAAGTCATTCTGCTCCGCCTGAGCCACACGGGCGCACATGTACCTGACAGCTCGGCTGATGCGTTCGGCGGCGGCTTCGAGAATCCGCCGTGCACAGCAATCTCGTAGGACGACGCGCACGAGGTTCCGTGAGTGGAAAGCACTTGGGCGATCGACAGCAGCGTCTGTGCTGGATTCAGCGAGCACTGCTTGAGAAGTCCATCGGGGTCTAGATTGAAACGTTTCTGGCATTCGCCGTTGTCGCAGCGCCACGCTGGGTTTTGCAGCGGCGGAAACGAATGCCTCGCCACCGAAACTGGACGGCCTTGTCCAGGACGAGACACCGACTTGACCGCGCCGACCTCGCATCTTTGACAAGCGCCTGATAGATCAGGAAGGATGCCCAAGTCGACGAAGATTTGGGCCGCGGTAACTGGCGGCAGCCCAGCCAATTCAAGCACTGCAGTGCGCGTGGTTTTCGGTTGTCTGGCCAGGTGCTGCACGGGAGCTTTGCGATCTCCTTCGGGGATGCAACGCGGGCCCGGGGACGGAGGAGGAGATCGAGCGAGCGATGTGTTGTCCTTTGGGTACCCTCTCAGGTTTCCTTGATGCTGGGCCACGAAATATGTGCCACCTCTGAAAGACAAAAAAGTGGCCTCCCTACATATATATACATATATATATAAAATAATATATATATATATATATATATATATATATATATATATAATATAAATATATCGCACCATCAGGCTTGCAGGAGGGAGGACGGAGGAGGAGGTCGAGGAGCGAGCGATGTGTTGTGTGTGGGTACGCTTCCTTGATGTTGGGCCACGAAACCTCATTTCTAAAACACCTAAAAATCAAAGCCTGTCGGAATCCGAAGCGGAGGGGGTTCGGCCCGCTCTGGCTTTCACCTCCCCGCTTTGAATTCCGAGAACCATTTTTGGGGGAAATGCCACAGGTTTTGTTTGTTTAGGAGTGTCACAGGTTTCGTGGCCCAACATCAAGGAAACCTGGGATGTTACCAAAGAGACCAAACATGTTCGCTCGCTTCTCGACCTCCTCCTCCGTCGTCCCTCCTGCAAGTCTGAAGTTGCGAAAACCTTTGTTTTTGGTGTGCGTTGGCATGCCACGTGTTTGAATGGTTTTGGGGTTGTTTGGGTGTTAAAAGAATGTTACAGGTTCCGTGGCCCAACATCAAGGAAACCTGTGACCGTCATTGAAAATATCACCCTTCTCCCACACAAAAGATTTCTAGTGGAACCGAATGAGCTTGGAATGTGATTTCAATCTGAAGAAAGCAGATTCAGAGCAAGAGGATTTCGATTTGGATTCCACGTAAATTCCAATAGGATTTCAAAAGACATTTGACGGATTCCGCCACAGGCCCAAACAGAACACTCTACAACTACACTAGCATCTACATCCACATGTTCGTCAACATCAACGTGGACATCTACATAACAACTAAGTGTTCAAGAGCGGATCCTCTTACCGCCTCTCTCTCTTCTGATGTTTCCCTCCTCCTCCTCCTCCTCCTCCTCCTCCTCCTCCTCCCCCTCCAACCCCTCCTCTTCCTCCTCTTCCTCCTCCTCTTCTTCCTCCTCCTCCTCCTCCTCCTCCTCCTCCTCCTCCTCCCCCTTCTCATCCTCATCCTCATCCTCATCCTGCGATGTTGTGTCTTTTTCGGCACCTCCGTCCTCCTCCCAGGATCAGCCAGCATCGAGTCGGGAGACGAATCGAACCGAAATGCACGTCGAATCGGGCCGCATCGACGCGGAGTCGGAATCGAACAAAGTCGGCCGCGACAAGATGCATGCAGGCATCCGGCCATAGCGGATCGTCTGAATACCATAATCGAATCGAATCGGGCCAGCCCAAGATAGGCGGGACGCCCAGGGGGAAGTGAGAAGGGGCGGGCCTTCTCAGAAGGCACGGAAGTCCCCCGGCCTTCTGGAAAGTTTTCTAAGCTCAAAGGCACGAGGGCTTCTGAGAAGTCCTGCCGCCTTCTGAGAAGGCCCTCTCCCTCTAACTGCATCCCCTCGTTCGCCGCCGACAAGACGATATGGAGCCCGAGCGATCTGGGCGAAGATGGACCCCGTCCTCTCTCCAGTTCGCTCACAGCCGCCGCGGCTCCTCAGAGCCCAGGACCCCTTCCCGGGAATCGACGGCGCTCCATCTCTTGCGTCGCGTCGTCTTCGCACGGTCTCCGGGCCCAGGCGGGGCCCCATCGAGGCCGCCAGCTGCCGAAGACACTCCGTCGTGTATGCTCCACGCGACGCGGGCAGATCTGGCGAGACGGGGATCTATCCGCATCCCCCCGCCTGGGAACCGACGTCCTGGTGCCCCAGCGGGCAGCGGATATGGAGTTAGTTGGTGCCCCGGGGGCCCGAAGATGCCCATGCCCGCCGCCTGCCGAGGCCCCCGGAGATCGATGCTCCAGGCGGTGGTCATGCATAAGTTTAGGTCGGGCATGTCCCCCTACAGGCGGATGTTGGACGAAAACTTCCAAATACCCCCCCCCCCTCGCAAGCGCTCCCAAGCGCTCCCAGGCGCTCCCGGCACGCTCTTGGCACGCTCCCAGCACGCTCCCAAGCGCTCCCAGGCGCTTCCAAGCGCTCCCAGGCGCTCCAAAGCGCTCCCGGCAGGCTCCCAGGCGCCCCCAAGCTCTCCCAAGTGTTGCCAGGCGCTCCCGGCACGCTCCCAGGCGCTCCCAAGTGTTGCCAGGCGCTAGGTGACCAAAAAATGGCAGAGTTTGCGTTCCAGGGCCTGTTCTTTTGCGGCGTTGGGCGCCCTGGCGCGGACGGCCGAACGACCCCTGCAGCGGGACACCCTGCCCACACGGTCGGCGCCGCCAACACTGCGCGTTCAACCGCGCAAAATACGCACCGAAAGGCGCCGCGCAAAAAGAAGAAGAATTACAACAAATTGAAAAATCGTCCCCTGACTATCCTTCTCCCACTCTTGAATACGCAGGAGTGGCACTAGGCAGGAGTGACCCTTGGTGCGCGGCTTTCGGGGGGCGCGGCGGGGGGAGGGGAAGAAACACCAGAGCGCAGGGAGGGGGAGGGCAAATCAGAGCGCGCAAGCCGCTACTATCGGATCCTCTTCAGCCACCTGGGAGCCCCAGTGTGCCCGCACCGAAAGTCACCCCGGCGAAAGGTCACTCCTGCGGGGACCAAGGCCAGGCTAACGGCATTGGCGAGGTAGGGAATCTTGTTTTTCTGACACCGAGCCCGCGCAGAAACAAATGCGTAGAATCACGAACCACGCGATCCTGCATCTCGAATGTGCTAGAGTATCGAACGAAAACGGCGCAGCGAATCGCAGGAAAGCGCGAACAGCACTCTCCTGCAATTGGTTCGGCCACGGGACAGCCCCACCGGCACTGTCGAAACCTACCACGCCGTTGCGGAGAACACCGTTAGCTTTGAGACAGCCAGGGGATCTGAACTGGATAGGCCCCGAGAAAATCGGTCAAGAAGGCTAAAGGAAAATCCGCGAAACAACTATCCCTGAACCCCTGCCGGGGTCTACCCGGAAAAGCTTTTCACCGCGGATCTGTAGTTGACGGTCCTGAAGCCCGAAAACGGCCCCAGGAAACCGAGGAAGGTAAAAAGCATTCTCGAACCCAGCATCTCGCACCTGCCCCCTTTCTGCTTTCTGCTCGCCAGAAGCAAAGCTGGGCCACCTCGGACCCCCAGCCAGCTCCAGCGATAGCCCGTCTGCAGGCGCAGCCGAGGATCACAGGGCTCGAAGCTCACAGCCAGCGTCCCTTGGCGCGAACAGGCGCGAGCCGCGCCCTTTGGGGGGAGAAGGCTCGGCTGCCGCGCGGGGCGGGGCGCCCGACGTAGTTGCTGCCGTCGGCCCACCTGGGCCAGGCGGCGCGCTGGCCAGGCAACATTTCCTCCTCCTCCTCCTCCTGCTCCTCCTCCTCTTCCTCCTGCTCCTCCTCCTCCTCCTCCTCCTGCTCCTCCTCCTCCTCTTCCTCTTCCTCCTCCTCCTGCTCCTCCTCCTCGTCCTCCTCCTCCTCCCTCCTCCTCCTCCTCCTCCTCCTCCTCCGCCTCCTTCTCCTGATCCTGTCCCTCCTCCTCCTCCTGCGCCTCATCGTCCTCCTCCCTCCTTCCTCCTTCCTCCTTCCTCCTGCCTCCTTTTTCATTCCTCCTTCCTCCGTCCTCCTTCCTCCTTCCTTCTCCTCCTCCTCATCCTCCTCATCTCCTCCTCCTCCTCCTCCTCCCTCCTCCTCCTCCTCCTCCTCCCCTCTTCCACATCTCTCCTCCTCTTCCTCCTCCTCTTCCCTCCTCCTCCTCCAGCTGCTCCTCTTCCCTCCTCCTCGCCTCCTCCTCCTCCTCCTCCTCCTCCTCATCCTCCTCCACCTCCTCCCCTCTTCCACATTTCTCCTCCTCCTCCTCATCCTCCTCATCCCTCCTCCTCCTCCTCCAGCTGCTCCTGCTCCTCCTCCTCCTCCTCCTCCCCCTCCTCTTCCTCCTCCTCCTCCTCCCCTCCTCCTCATCCCCTCCTCCACATAGATTATCCTCCTCCTCTTCCTTTCTCCTCCCTCTTCCTCCTTCCTCCTTCCTTCCTCCTTCCTCCCCACCTCTCCTCCTCCCCCCTCCTCCTTCCTCCTGCCTTCTCCTCCTCCTCCTCCTCCTCCTCCTCATCCTCCTCCTCCTCTTCTCCCCTCTTCCACATATCTCCTCCTCCTCCTCCCTCCTCCTCCTCCTCCTCCTCCTCCTCCTCCTCCCCCTTCCTCCCCCTCCTCCTCCAGCTACTCCTGCTCCTCCTCTTCCTCCTCCTCCTCCTCTTCCTTCATCCTTCCTCCTTCCTCCTTTCTCCTTCCTCCACATATCTCCTCTTCCTCCTCCTCCTCCTCCTCCTCATCCTCCTTCACCTCCTCATCTTCATCCTGCTCCTTCTCCTCCTCCTCCACCTCTTCAGTATCCTCTTCTTTTCTTCCTAGTAGTAGTATGATGAGTAGTCGCAGTCTTAGCTTTAGTATTATCAGTGGTATTAGTATTCGTATTAACATTACTATTAGTAATACGAATAGTAATAGTACTAGTATGCTTAATATTCGTATCCAGCGTCGCACTATTATTGTTATTAGTATACGTGTTATTCGTAGCAGTCTTAGTAGTAGTAGTCTTCTTGTGAGTAATCATAACGTTCGTACCTTAATATTCTTTTGTTGTGCGTAGTAGGATCCTTCGCATTCGTCGTCTTAGCATACGTCGTAATATCCTGCATCGTTTCACTATTAGTATTATGCTGCGTCTTCGTAACAATATTAGGATCCTTGGTATTCGTATTATGAGTGTCCGTCTTCCTCTTCCTCGTATTCGTATTCTTCTTACTGGTTGTAATAATATTACTCGTATTCTTCGTAGTAATATGTTTAGTCTTAGTTTTATTCCTCGTGTTCGTATTATTGGTATCCTCCTTTCTCGTCGTCTTCGTCTTCTGTGTATCCGTCTTATCAGTATCCTTATTTTTCCTCCTCCTCCTCGTATTCCTGCCCTTCCTCCTGCTCCTCCTCCTTCTTCCTCCTCCTCCTCGTCCTCCTCCTCTTCCTCATTCCTCCGCCTCCTCCTCCTCCGCCTCCTCTTCCTCCTCCTCCTCCTCTTGCTCCTCCTCCACCTCCTCCTCCTCGTCCTCCTGGCCTTCCTCCGCCTCGTCATCCTCCTCGTCCTTCTTCCTCCTCCTCATCCTCCACCTGCTCCTCTCCTTCGTGGTATTCGTATTATGTGGATTGTTGTTCTTATTAGTCTCTAATATGATTCTTATGATATCTGTGTTTGGTTCTTCCTATTCTTTGTATTGTATTATTATCAGTATTACTATGATTAGTATTGGTAGTAGCAGTTTTATCGCTACCATTATTACTAGTAGTATTCCCATTTGATTATTCCAATCCCTGATATCAGCACTCTTATTATTACTAATAGTAGTAGTAGTAGTAGTAGTAGTAGTAGTAGTAGTAGTAGTAGTAGTATCCTTATTCGTATTCGTCGTAGTATTATTAGTCTTCGTTTACTTACTATTATTATTCCTCCTCCTCCTCCTGCTGTTCCTGCTCTGTCTCCTCCTCGAGCTGCTAATCCTGCTCCTCCTCCTCCTCCTTCTCCTCCTCCTCTTCTTCCGCTTTTTCGTTGTCGTCGTTCTCGTCCTCGTCCTCGTCCTCGTCGTCCTCCTCCTCCTCCTGCTCGTCCCCGCTCCCTCGTCCACATTTCTCCTCCTCCTCCTCCTCATCCTCCTCCTCCTCCTCCTCCTCCTCCTCCTGCTCCTCATCCTCCATCTCCTCCTCATCCTCACCCCCCTCCTCCTCCTCGTCCTCCTCCTCCTCCTCCTCCCTCCTCCTCTCCTCCTATTGCTCCTCCTCCTCCTCCTGCTCCTTCTCCTCCTCCGCCTCCTCCTAATCCTCGTCATGGTCCTCCTCCTCCTCCTCCTCCTCTCCTCGTCTCCTCCTCCTCCTCCTCCTCCTCCTATGCTCCTCCTCCTCCTCCTCCTCCTGCTCCTTCTCCTCCTCCGCCTCCTCCTCCTCCTCGTCATGGTCCTCCTCCTCCTCCTCCTCGTTCCTCCTCCTTGTCATCATCATCCGCCGTTTCCGTTTCCTTTTTCCTCTTCCTCCTCATCCTCCTTTCTCCCTCCTGCCCCTGTTCTCTCTCCTATAGCGTCCTGTTCCACCTATTCCTTCTCCCTCTTTCCCGTCTTCCACACATTTCCCCCTCACCCCCCTATTTCCCGGAAGACCCACGCCATGGAGTGGTTAAATGCAAACCTCGCACCAAAGAGTTCAAGAGGGGCCCCTCCCTGGCCACCAAGGGCCATCGAAGGCGTCTTTGGCTCGTTTGCCGGGCACTGTCAAGCGTGAGGCTGTTTTCCGTGGCCAACCGCCTGGGGCGTTGGACCGCTGAGCTCGCGCCCACATTGTGGACACCAGCGAATTCCAGCGAGCTCCCCTCCCTTACTTCTACGACCGGAAGTAGTGGCATAAAGCGTTACGCGACCGAGGAGCCCCACAGACTTCGTTTAAAGTACTGTGATCGCATCGACGACGCGCAACATGTGGATGCTGGCGCTGGTCGCTGCCCCGTCGATACCGTCGACAAGCGTGTGCCACGCCATGAGATACCAGAGGGTGGAGAAAGTGCCGCGCCTGCCACCCCTCGCGACCCTGGAGCGGTCAACAAGGGCCTTTTTCACCGTGGCGGCAACAAGCAACCAAGCAACGCAAGAAACGGAACGCAATCTTCGGCGAAACGCCTCCGACCGCGCCCAACTCGCAAATCTACCGCGACAAGAAATCATGTCGCGAGCATGCCCCGTCTGCATTGCCTTCAAATGCCCTGCGATGGAAAACATCTGGGCCACGGCTCGCAAAGACGAAACATCGCTGCTTTTGCCGGAAAGACTGCCGCGCTCCGCCCCGTGCACCCCAGCGACCTCAAACCGCAGGAAAGATCCATTGGTGCTCAGCGAGAGCGCGGAGGGTCACGGCGTACTTCAAGGCATGCACCACGGTTTGGGTCGGAAATCCCCGACGAAGTCCGGATCTCCTCAAGCCATTATTGCGTCCGTCCCTCCCTCGTGCTCTTTTTGTCCGCGGCCTGGACCGAAGTCTTCGGGCCTGGGGCAGTGGCCAAGTCTGCCTTTGTGACGCCATCCGCTTATAAATTGCCCTGTGCTTAACGGCAGCCACGCCAGCTGCTTTCTTCCGCAAAGAATGGTCATCGTTTATGCGCCGCTCGTCCTGCTCTTGCACCCGCGTAGAGCGCATCGGGCCACCAATTGTCAAACTGGCGGCGGTGCGCACAAAATGCGGACAACACCCCGGTTGCACAGCGGCGCGAGTTCCCCACGCGGGCCTCATCTTCATCACCAGAGCGTTCTTTCACGCCAAACACGGGGATGGCCGTGCGTCCATGGCAATTTTGGGCAGCATGATTGCCACGCGCGTGCACGGCGGTTGCTGCTCTGAAGTGCGATCACAATCGCGCCTGCGACGAACCGCGCGCATGCCGAGCCGGCTTGCGACAAGGTGATTAATTACTGTTCTGGATAATGCACGGGCTCTCACCCGCGCAACCCACGACCCCATGCGCAGTCCTGCGTCGTCATGGAAGCGCCGCGCCTGCCAAACTTCGCAAGCCCGAAACGGACAGCGACCGCACCCCAGCGCACCCCCTGTGCCATTGAAAGCGCGCCACGCCTGCCACGCTCTGCGACCCAACACGGACAGCGGCCGCACCCCTAAGGCACCCCCTGCGGCGTCGAGAAAGTGCCACGCCTGCCGCACTCTGTGAGCCCCAAACGGATAGCGGCCGCTCTTCCAGGGACCCCCCTGCGGCGTCAAGAAAATGCCACGCCTGCCACTCTTTGCGAGCCCGAAACGGATAGCGACCGCCCCCCTGCGCACCCCCTGCAGCGTCGAAGAACTGCTACGCCTGCCACCCTTTTTGCGAGCCCGAAACGGATAGCGACCGCACCCCCATGCCCTCCCCCGCAACGTCGAGGAACTGACACGCCTGCCACGCTCTGCGAAGCCGAAACGGATAGCGACCGCACCCCCAGCGCACCCCCTTGTGGCAACGAGCAAATGCCACGACTGCCACACTCTGCGAGCCCGAAACGGAAAGCGGCCGCAACCCCAGACGCACCCCCTCTCTGGTGTCGAGGAGGTGCCACGCATCCCACGTCCCGTGCAAAGTACGCGTATGGATTGCGTGGCGCACGTGTCATGTGGGCGACTCGGTTCTCGCCTGCGCGCCGTGCGTATGTGTATGATGTGGGCGCCGCGCAATCGGGTCGATCGGATCGAGGTGGCAATGCCGCCGTCGCCGTGGCTGCGGCGGCGGCCTTCGCAATTCGAACATCGTCGCGGCCGCGCTCGGCCACTCGGGAGGGGGGGGGGGGCATTGGCGGGGCCCCGCATGGGCGGCATTTTTTTAATTATATATATATATATATATATATATATAATATATATATATATATATATATTGTATATATATATAACAAAAAAAAAAAAAAAAAAAAAAAAACTCTGGGTGAGACGCGGGCCCCCGGCGGGAGATCGGGATATCTGGGGGGCCACGTCGCGAAGAACGCACGTCCGAGGCCCGGGCTCGGGGAGGGGGAGGAGGGGGAGGAGGAGGGGGCGGCGGCGGGGCAGGCTCCGGTGATCCACGGGGGAAAGCCTTTCGACAGCATGCCGGTGGCCAGCTCACTGCTCTACGTTTTCTGGGCAGGCAGAAGATCATGTTGTCGCGCCCAAATGTTTCAGTTGTCGCGTGGGCCCAATAAAACGTTCAGCGAACGGACCATCACGCCAAAAGAATTAATTCCCCAAGCGCTGCTTCCAGTCGACTGCATTAGAAGCCACAGCAATCCATGCCAAACCACGCTTCTAGAAGAAATTGAATATCTCCGTTCCCCAACGCCACGGGCGAAAACACTCTGGATGCCCCTGCCAGCCACCATTGGCCCCCGCAAACTGGCGCGACGACGGGGTACTCTTCTAACGCAAAACGTTCAAAGGTATGCGATCCGGTTCCTGTAGCCCTTGGCGTACCAATTTCCCAGCCCACTCGCGCTGCTGCTTTCTCCAAGCTTGCACCCACGATTCCACGCTGCACTGTTGCATGGCTCGTGTAACCAGGCCTTCACAGCGATGCATATACTGGTCCACGGTATCCTGCTGAAGCTTTGGTGTACGAAAGATAGGGCGCGCCATGTTACGCTGCGCCCCAGACATGGCCCTCTCCCGATGCACGTTCAGATTCCAAGCGCCCGCCCCCCATAGGCGCGCGAGCTTGACGGTCACGTCCAGCAGGGGCAACTTCTTGTTGAGGGACCCCGACTTGTGCACAAGTAAAGCCCTGTACTAGAAGTAACACCCCCACGCTTTAGAGATCCGCTTGTCGAACTCCTTCTCGAACGAGTTGTCGAGAGTGACGATGGCCCCTATAGAGGGCTTTGAAACCTTCGCTCCGGGCTGCTCGCCTGATGTCGCGGCCATTGACGGCCAGCGCCATCGGGATGCCATCTGAAGCCGTTGTACACCAAGAACACTCCTCCAGAGGGACTGACCACCCAGACCGGCATAATCTGCCCAAGAACGACTGCACCATATCCTGTAGCATTTTGAGCGATGTTCCAAGGATCCAAAAACTGTCTGCCAAACACAAGGAGCCGTAGAAAGCCCCTTCCAACTTTAACGCCCCATTTGTTCTCCGCGCACTCCGTCTGAAACTCTGCCAAGTCAACGTCGAAAATCAAATTGAAGACTTTCGGGGCGTCTGGCCCCCCCTGGCACAAGGACCCGGCGCGCCCGACGCCCTTGCTGCAGACATCTCCAGCACAGACCTTGGATTTCAACTTGCGGACCTCCCTGAAGATAGCTGCAACCGTAATATTTTGAAAGCCCTTCTGGACCAGACGCTGCGCGCCGAGGAAATGGTTCACCGTGTCGCACGCCTTGAAGAGGTCCCCGTCGAAGATGAACGAGAGCGGCACTACGTCATGCCAATCGACATGTCTCTCGATCAAGTTCTGGAGCGTGAAAATCACATCCAACGCCTGCCTGTGTGGACGGAACGCAAACTGAACCTCGCTCTGATTCTCCAGGCGTTTGTTCTCCAGCTCCAGAACGCACGCCAAGTACACTTCCCGGGATGATAGCAATAGGCCGGAGTTTGGAAGGGTGGGTAGGCTCATCCTTCGTCAGAATACACTGCACCACGACGCGTTCCCATGATGTCTCGCCGGCCTCGGATACGTGGTTCAGCAGCCAGAGCCTAAAGACATCCGCCAACACCTCGAACGTGTCACCGTCGAGGCACGCGATCATCTCGATGACCAAAAGGTCTTCTGCGCACGTCCTGTTCAACTTGAATCGATACGCAACTCTGCGCACGAGGCTGCCGTCAAGAGGCCGAAAACAAGACAAGGCGTCCGTGTGCCACGACTGCGAAAACCAAGGAAGCAAATCTTTTTTGAGCGAGCGCTCGTTGTTGTAAAGATTGTGAAAATACGTTGTTAACAAATGCCCCTTTGCCTCGTCGCTGAATGCCATGTCGGACGTACCAAATTCCCGAAAGAACGGCACCACCGTCTTCTGAAATGGCTTGGCTGGGCGAGAAGCTTGGATTGGATAGCCTCGGCCATCTTCACATCGAACTGTAGTCTTGCTATGCGCCTCCTCTGCTTGACCACCATGTTTGCCACGAGTGCGCGGGATACTGGCTCAGATTCCATCCCCCGCCGCCGCTGAAGCTCACGGAGTGCGCACTTCGCCTGCTGGATGGCCTCGGTGTCGCGGCAGCCATGCCGAGGCGCACGACCGCGGACGCGAGCCTCGGAGGAGACTGTCTGGGTGGACTCGGCGATGGTGGGGACGACGTTCACAAAGTCAACAGACCTCACCTCCGTCAAATTGGTGGCGCCATCGCCAGCGAGCTTCTCGAAGTTCGTAGCCGCCCCCATGCGTGATCTAAATTATGTCGTTCCCCAGTCGGCAAGCCGGTATGGGCGACGCCACCAGGACGCGATGTTGTCGCGATTCCCTGCGAAAACTGCCAGCCTGTCTGCCTCCTCGTTCCCGGCGATGCCAGTGTGCGACTTCACCATAACAAGCCTCACATCAAATACACGCGATAAACTTTTCCACAAGTGCTCCATGAGAGACACGAGTTCAACAGTTTCCTTCGCATGGAACTTACCCGTCAAGATCCCGACAACGTACAAAGAGTCCACCTTGCACACGCTCTTCCCGACATCCTCCATGAAATGGTAATTGCCTGGGTTCGCCGAGTCACGAGTGGAAAGGAGGGACAGACACGCCTCGACCATCGCAGAGCATTCACCATTGCTGGAATAACGCCTGGCTCCCACAAAATTCTCCCCCTCAGCGTCGGTGACGACCGGACCACATGCAGACAACAATGGCTCACCTATCCCACTCGTGTCCCCAAGCCCTTTCACAGTGAAACCCCAACATGTCAGCGTTGTGCGATGGGTTACCTGAGGGAGGTCATTTATTGATAGGTGCTGACGTTCAGGATAGATTGGGAGTCATGGAAGATGGCCAGTGCGCTTACGGAGATATTGTTGGACCCTATGCTGAGTTACACGCAGGCTCCAAGGGCAGGATTGTTCTTAACTTTCTGCTTGAGCACGACATGGTGGCGATGAACACGTACAATCAGGCAAACCAGTCCGACACGTACACTTGTCACTACCATTTGAAATCCGAGCCTCGGCAAATCGATTTTGTCTTCGTGTCCAGGCAGATCGCGGGCCGGAGCAGGTGCCACCCTACAGAGATTGATGCAACCACGACGGATCATCGGAGCCTCGTCTGGGGTATTGGGGCGGCTGTGGATTCCCGGAAGCGGCAGCAGCGAGGAGGCCAGCCACCCCCCAAACCAGTAGGATGGAAACTTGAAGATTTCGGGTTCGCACTTGCCGTTAAAGATCGCCTCAACATCCCAGGAGTCTTGACGATGGAGCCCGAGACCACCAAGGAGTTCGAGGACAATGCCGTGCACGTCTTCACCGACGGGCACTGCCAGTTTAAACGGAGGAGCAGGAGGAGGAGGAGGGAGGAGGAGGAGGAGGAGGAGGAGGAGTAGGAGGAGGAAAAGGGAGGGATGAGGAGGAGTGGTAGGAGGGAGGGGGAAGATGGAGGAGGAGGAGGAGTGAAGAGGAGGAGGAGGGAGATGGAGGAGGGAGGAGGCAGGAGGAGGAGGGAGGAGGGAGGAGGAGGAGGAGGGAGGAGGAGGAGGAGGAGGAGGAGGACGGAGGGAAAAGAGGGAGGCGGAGGAGGAGGAGGAGGAGGAGGAGGAGGAGGAGGAAGAGGAGGAAGAGGAGGAGGAGGGAGGAGGAGGAGGAGAGGGAGGAGGAGGAGGAGGAGGAGGAGGAGGAGGAGGAGGAGGAGGAGGAGGAGGAGGGGTGAAGAGGAAGGAGGAGGAGGAGGAGGAGGAGGAGGAGGAGGACGAAGAGGAGGAGGAGGAGGAGGGGAGGGGGAGGAGGAGGAGGAGGAGGAGGAGGAGAAGGAGGAGGAAGAGGAGGTGGAGGATGAGAGGAGGGAGGAGGGAGGAGGGGGAGGAGGAGGAGGAGGAGGAGGAGGAGGAGGAGGAGGAGGAGGAGGAGGGAGGAGGAGGAGGAGGAGGCGGAGGAGGAGGAGGAGAGGAAGGGAGGAGGAGGAGGAGGAGGAGGAGGGAGGAGGAGGAGGAGGAGAGAGGAGGAGGAGGGAGGAGGAGGAGGGGAGGAGGAGGAGGAGGGGAGGGCTAGGGGGAGGGAGGGGGCAGGAGGGAGGAGGACGAAAAAGTAGGGGCACCTGTAGGTGCCCTGGCCGTGCATGTCGTTGCCGTCGAACTGGCCCTCGTAGGCGCCTTCGCGCCACGGGAGGGCGCGCGGCGAGCGAAGTCCTGCTCTGCCGTCGCCCACCGCGGCAAGAGCGCCGCAGCGTCGCCACCCCCTCTTGGCTCACCGATGCGGAGGAGGAGGAGGAGGAGGAGGAGGAGGAGGAGGAGGAGGAGGAGGAGGAGGAGGAGGAGGGAGGAGGAGCGCGATGAGGAGGGCGGGGAAGAGAGGAGAGAAGGAACGAAGGAAGAGGGGCGGGGAGGGCTCCCACGAAGCGCTCGAGCTTCTGGCAGGCTCTGGAGCTCTCTGGGGGCTCCAGGAGACGTTCAAGAGGCTTTCAGGGATTAAAGTGGGGGCGACGTAGTTTGGGAGTTTGGGGAAGGTTGTCAAAGGGTCGACGTAGTTTGGGGTAGTTTGGGAGTTTGGGGCGACGTAGTTTGGGGAAGTTTGGGAGTTTGGGAGTTTGGGGAGTTTGGGAGTTTGGGAGGGTTTGGAGGGTTCAGACGTTTGCGTGGAAGGTGTGGACGTAGTTTGGGGAGGGTTGTCAAAACAGGGGATGGCGCGGAGAGAGGGAGGGGAGCAGGGGAGGCGAGGCAACCGCAGAGGACGAGGAGTGAGAGAGAGAGAGAAACAACAAAAAGACAGAGGGATGTTGCACGCACTTCTCAGTGTGCGCGTGTCATCCTTGCGCAGGGGCGATGCCAATCTCCTGTGCACCGTGCCAATTTCAACGGGTGATCCCCGAAGGGGATCCGAAGAGAAAGATGACGGCGAAGAGGAGCACGACTGCACTCTGCCCTGCGCCCCTGGACGCCCGGCGATACGTCGGGCCCCGCCCTGCCGCTCCGAGGGGCGATGGGGCCGGAGCTCCCAGCGCACCGCAGACCCTCGAGACAACCACGGAGACAACCTCGATACCGCCACTCCCTGGACCTCTCCAGGGGCCGGCCCACGGGGGCAAAGACTGAATGAGGTCGTCGCGTGCCATGGCTTTCAATGAGCAACCTTTACACCCAGGCTGAACCACGCAGAGGCGTGGACTTGTCGATCGCGCCTTGGACACACAAGGTGCATTGATTTCATCTTAGTGCCTGGCTCCCTACACGTGGTGGGTTCTGACCAGAATACGAGGCGAATCCAGCCGTGGCGACGAGGGGTGCCTTGTTCTTCCTTCCGCAGGCCGCGCTCGGGCTGGCTCGAGATGGCAACTGCGAGACCTCGCTCGCCGAGGGGGCCCGAGAACCGAAGACTTGCCCGAATCCGCGAGAAGTCGACCACTGCATGCGCAAACACCTGTCCTACCCGCCTCCGCCACGTCACCGCATGAAGACAGCAGCACGAGGCAGGCTCGGTCGGCATCGACTCGGGAAAACGGATTGGATCGGCAGGTACGTCGGATCAGGCTGTCTCGGCACTAGGTCGAAAATTGAATCGGACCAACTGCACCAGGATGCACACACGCCATGCAAGCATCGGGCCGCATCGGATCGTCCACATATCAGAATCGGATCGAATCGAACCGTCGGCCAGAATCCATATCGATCCGGATCGACTGGACCGAAATGGACCCCGTTAGAAAATGGGGAATTGGCCGAGTGCATGAGATTGGCGGCGCCGCTCGGTCTCCTCGGACCTCTGCGGGGCCTGCCCGTGCACTCCCCCCTCCTACTCCACGCCCTGCCCTCCTCGGATTCCTCCTCCTGCTCCGCCCCATCCGCTGCCCTTCCACCCTCTCACGCCTGCTCCCTCCCTCCTCCCTCAGCACCGATGCCTCCCCGAGCGGCGGCTGGCCGCGTCGGGAGCGGCATAGCCTCTCGCACGTGTTGGCAGCTGGGGCACCGCCGGGGGAGCCAACAGGCACCGCTGCCGCGCTACTCCCCGGACCTCTCCCTGGGAGCGTCCTGACCAGACTTCCGTGGCGAGTCCAGCGGTGGCGACGCGAGCCTCCAAGGAGGCCCACAGGGGCGGGAACGAGAGAGGGGCAGCGGTGTGGGCACGGCTTCCTCCTCTGCAGCGGGCCCGCCCGCGCGCCCCCGGCGCCGTCACGCGCCAAGCTGTGGCACGCGACGGCCCGAAGCCAAGAGAAGGCCTTCCACCAACTGCCCCCCCCTATGTGACGGGCCTGTTTTCCACCACCACCACCACCACCACCACCATAAGTTGGAGGGGGAGGGGGTTCTCCTCCTCCTCCTCCTCCTCCTCCTCCTCCACCTTGCCCCCTCCTTGCCCCCTCCAACTGATGGTGGTGGTGGTGGTGGACAACAGGCCCATCATTTCAGGGGCCAACGCCCTCGTCGCGCGCGCTTCTCCACTGCCAGGCTCCCCGGGAGCGCCTCGGGCGGCCCGTCGTGGCAGGCCGGCGCGCTGGCGAGGCCCCCAAGCCGCTGTGCGCACGGGCCTCCCCGCGCGACGTGCGGGCGCGGGCGCGCCCGCTCTGCAGCTCCCCAGTCCCGGGCAGCCCGTCGAGGCAGGCCGGCGCTGGCGAGCCACGCATGTCGACGTGCGCATATCTTGCCGTCGCTCGGACGTCCACTTGCCGTGCACTTTTCGGTTTCGTGCGTGCTTTTGTCTCGTCGATGATCCAGGATGCTCCTCCAGGGTCCTCGCCGAGAAGAAAAAGCACACGTCCAAGTGATGCCAGGATATAGGCCACCCCATCGCGACACACATGGGGAGCCCACGAAGGACGTGCGCGCTCACCCGCGTACATGAGCACGGTCCCCCAATCCGCGAGGCCGCCCTTCGCGATAGGAACAGTCGCGCCACGCGTACGCTCGAAAACATGGCGGATTCATGTCCGTGTGCGTCCTTCTGTAGCTCCTGAACATGGGCGCGGACGTACTGTCGACGAAAAGCAGACCCGCGCGTGCACACCTGTCCGCGGACGCCCGGCCGCGCACGGGCCCTCCCCGAGCGCGGGCGCGCCGGGGCGATGGCCTGGCCAGGCCCTCCTCCGACCGAGAGAGCAGCTTCTAGAGAGCGGCACCCCATCCACTGGCCATCGCTCGGACGTCCATTCCCTGTGTTTTTTTCGGCTTCGTGCGTGGATTTTCGCCAAATGATACAGGATGCCCCTCGATGGTCCCCGCCGGAGGAGAAATGCACACGCCCGAGCGATGCCAAGTTAAGAAAGGCACGAGCCCGCCCCCCCCGCCGCCCCAGTGCCTCGACAGTTGGAAGGCGCCGCAGGCGAGGCGTCGGGTTCCACCTTGCTTGTGGCCCTGCGATGCCGAGCTCCCTTGCTCCACATTCTGGCCAGGCGGGGAGGGGAGTCCTGCGGAACGTGCCCTCGGCAGGTGCTGCGAAAGAAAGGCTCCTCCGCACGTGCTGCAGGGTCTGTCTGGCGAGGCTCGTGCCCAAAGCGTATCTCTGCCCCCTCTTGAAGAAGAACCCAGTCCATGTGAAGAAGGCGCGCCGGTGGCTGCCCCGAAGAAGCGGCACGGTTGCACCTACCCCGCTCCCCCCTGTCCCCAGTCCGCCTCTCGGGAGCCCCTCCCTTCCGAATCCTCGTCCCGCCCCCCCCCCACACTCTTTTCCACAAGGGGGGGGGCGCTCCTGCCCCTCTTCCCGCTTCAAGCCGGAGGTTGGACCCCCCCACGCTCTCCTCCCTTTGGGGCACCCGCGTTCGGGCCAGAGGGTGCACCTCCTCCTCCCCCTTCATAACTCCTGAACCTTGACCCGGACACCCGAGCCCTGACGCCGCTGCCCCGACCCTCTAACCCGACCCTGGCCCAAACAAGGACCCGAACCCGAATTCCCAGCCCTATCCACTAAACCCTCGTATCCCAACCATAACCTCAAACCCGATCCCGAGCCCAAAAGAGAAGCCTGACACCACGACATCAACCCCGCATCCTCCCCTAACACCCCAACCCTCACCCTAGGTTCTAATCATGACCCTGGGCACTACCACCCGAAGCCGAACTCCCTCAGCCTGCCACCCTAAACCCTGACCCTAATACCCTAACCCTAGCTAATCCCAATCCCGAACCCACAATTCTGACCAGATCACCCGAACAACTACCCTAGCACTAGTCCTGAACACCCAGACCCGTCACTCACGCACTAAACCAAAGTTCGAACCCTAAAACCTAACCCTAACACCGTAGCACTTCCCTAGAGTACTAGTCATGCCCCCGAGCCCTAACACCATACACGTTAACATCCTAAGCCCAAGCACGAAGCCTGACACGAACACTCTAAACCAAAACCCTAGCAATGAACTCTGGCACTAAACCAACACATATTACCATGCCAAAGAGGGGACGCTAATTGGAGACCAACCTTTTTTGATTGATGGTCTCCAAGATGGTCCCAAGAAGGCCTCCAAGGCTCCCAAGAGGGCCCCAAAAAGACCCCAAGACACCCCCAAGAGGCACCCAAGAGGACCCCAAGACACCCCAACAGGCACCGAGCCCCCAAGAGGCCCGCAAGACGCCCCAAGAGGTTACACAGAGCCGCTCAGGAGACATCCCATGCGACTCCGAGAGGCAGCAAAGAGGCCTCTAGTTCACTGAGGCTCCCCGAGGTATCCACATGGTGCCATGCTCCCCGAGAAGGGCAGCTCCCCTATTCATCGTTCCTGGCTGGGCTGGTGACGACTGAATGCCTGTATACACTACGGTACGTGTGCAGGCGCAGCCGACATGCACCTCTGGAGGCATTCGGGAGCCTCCGGACGAAGTCGGCCGTCGTCGCCGTCCCAGGCCACTGCCAGCCTGGGCTCGCCTAGGCGTTGCGGGCCCCCCCGCCTGTAACGGACGCTACCCCGGCGGAAAAAAAGAAAACACGCTCCTGGCACGTTCTCGCCAGAGGACTCAGATGATGGGCTTGTCTTCCACCACCACCACCATGAAATGGAGGGGGGAAGGAGGTGGAGGACGAGGAGGAGGAGGAAGAGGAGGAGACCCCCTCCCCCTCCAACTTGTGGTGGTGGTGGGGGAAAGCGTGCCCATCATCAGAACGACCGCCGCCTACCTCCGAAGGAAGGGCCGGCGTGGCGTGCCGGAGACGGGGCCTGCGCGGGAAGCGGGCCCGGGACCCCGGAGCCTTCCTTGGAGACCAGCTCTTCATGCTAAGCCGACCGACGGCCCCTGGCCCCGGGGAGGGCCCCGGGGCAGCGCCAACGGCGAAAGCTCTCGGGGCCTGCCTCCCTCGGGACCCGTTCCCGGATAGCTGGTGTCTTGTCTTCTGCCCACACGGGGCCCCCTCGAAGTCGAGGCCTCACAGGTGGGGTCCGAGCAGCAGGGGTCGCAGGATCGCGCCGCACCGTCGATGCATGGCCGATGCACCGCCGATGCACCAGCGACGTCGGCGATAAATCGGCGCCGTGGGCGTGCATGACATCGGGGGCTCCGCATCGAGCCGCATAGCCGCTCCATCGGCGATGCAGCGCGATCCCAACCCCATCTGTTCAGACCCCCTCTGCGAGGCCAGGATGAAGCCTCGACCCCCTCCCCAGGCACCCGATTGTCACCCCGACTCGATGGTTGACGGTCCCTTGGCCCAGCCAGGGCCCCTAGCTAGAGGCTGAGAGGGGTGAAACAGCAACCATCTTGACTTCTCTGGCCGACCTGGCGGTCGTGGTTTGCTTCTTGGCGGCCCGCCTTTCGGACGCCGAAAGGGGTAGGGTTAGGTCGGGCGTGTCCCCCTACAGGCGGATTTGGGACGAAACATTAAAAAGTGTCCAAACATACCCCTAAGCGAATTAAAAATAGTCGAACAATCGTCCCAATACTGTTTTTAGAGAACTATTTTAGGTAAAGAGTGGGTGCGATGCCCAGCAGCAAATGCTGCCCAAAACCAACAGCGGCAGCTGCTGGGTAGGCGAGCGTGTGCACCTCGAAAAGACAACGCGACCGCGGTGACGCCGACTGCCAAAATCCTGCTCAAAATGAGCAGGTCATGCCGTCGGTCTTCGTACACATTATTTCCGCGCCCATGCAGCACATACATATATATACACATGTGTGTACAATGAATATGTATACATATATATATATGTATATATATACACACACACATAAAATCATTTAGTTAGGTCGAGCATGTCCCCTAACAGGCCGAGTTGGGCGAATAGTTAAAACTACTAGAGATATATAGCCACATATTGCCAAAAGTAGTGAAAACATGCCCCCTTACCATGTTTGTTGCTATGTTTGAATTTTCTCCTGTAGAGAGACAGGCCCGACTTAACCTTATACATATATATATATATATAGATGTGTGTGTGTGTGCGAAAACTCAGGCGGTCTGGTGCGAAAAGGAGGGGGGACGGCCGGTGGCCTCACCTTTGCGCTCAGGGCAGCTCCACGTGCGGCGGGGAGGCGACGGCCGAATACCCTCCAACCCTCTCGCCCGGGCCAGCCCCACGCATGCCCGCACACGTACCAGTGCAGCAAGGGCCCGACCACAAGGAACCTTCCACAAGAAGCCCAAGCCTGAGACCCCAGGACTCGACGGTGGACAAACCTCCCTTTAGTGAAACACCCTTTAGTGAAACCGGCCTAGGACCGAAACCGACGGACCTGGACCCGCAAAAACGACGACCGCGACGCCCTCTCGCGAACCGAAAACGGCCAATTCGCTAATCGACGCGTCAGGGTAGGAGGTCGATCATCCTCCGAAGGACGTCCACTGATTTCTGGTGTGGGAGCGTCACGCTTTCCATAGCAGAGCCATCGAACCCCAAGAAACCCAGGGCACCTTGGAGTCAAGCATGGTGCTTCTTGGCATGGGCCTCCACTGTACTGCGTACCCCCCTCAGGCTTGCGAAACCGACAACGTCAGGCTGTCCGGAGGGGAGGGGGGCGGCGGGCGGGGCCGAGAAGCCAGGCGCTCGCCAGACCCTCTAAGAATTATCCTGGCGAAAGACCCCAGGCTCAACCATAGGCTTGTAGATGCCATGACAACGGACACCCCAACGATCCTGTCATTGAATGAAATATGTGTTTACAAAGGTTGAAATGATATTCTGAAAATGTTTGAAACAGATGTTTTAGCATGTTCTTCAAACCATGCTTAAAACATGTTTACACATCTGGAAATGGTGGGGCAACATGCTTCCTCTCCATTGATCGTCGTCCACTACCACAGGCAATTGTGAGCACCGCAGCGGTGCGCATCCTCTTCCGTGGAGCTCCCCGCGGGGCCACGAAGAAGCGTGTGAGGGGCGTGCCGGAGGGGGCGGCGGAGACGCACGCGGTCACAGGCACCGGCGACCGGGGCCTTGCGCGGAGCTCCCTGCGGGACCACGGAGCGCTGCACTGGGTGCGGGGGGCAGAAACAAGGATGGGAGTGACGAGGCAACTACTGGGAGGTTTGCGCCGGAATGCTCAAACATTCCCTACCTAGGCTCTGCCTATAAAGGTTCTTACCCTCTGTGATGAAAGGGCCGGGCAGTGCTACCCGCCCCGGGCGGTTCCCCCAGTATCCGCCCCGCGGTCCCCCCGGTTGCGTCCCCTTAGCTTAGCGTTGCTTATCTCATCTTAGCTTAGCGTATTTCATCTTAGCTTAGCTTAGCTTCATCTTAGCTCAGGTTTATATTAGCTTAGCTTACCTTCATCTTAGCTTCGCCGAGCTTTAGCATAGCAGAGCACAGCATAGCATAGCATAGCGTAAAATTGCATCGCGCAGCACAGCATATCAAAGCATAGCCCAGCATAGCCCAGCATAGCACAGCATAGCATAGCATAGCGCAGCACAGCACAGCACCGCATAGCACAGCGCAGCATAGCATAGCATAGCATAGCATAGCATAGCGCAGCATAGCGCAGCATAGCATAGCATAGCATAGCGCAGCATAGCATGGCATGGCATGGCATAGCATAGTATAGCATAGTAACTAATGCTGCTTTCCTAGGGGCTTCAATTTCTAGGTAGGGTCGCACTGGGGTAATGATCAACCCCATTGGGAGGCTGTTACGCCGGAATGGGCCTCGGATTGAGCGGGACTAAGCCGAAGAAAGCCGGATTCAACGGGATTCAGCCGGACTAAACGGGATTAAGCGCGATTAAGCAAGAGTTCGGACCAAAGCAAAATCAGAATTTAACCTCCCAGGAGCTGCATACGAATGGGAGGATGGAGAGGAGGGGGCAGCGGGTGGAGGGAGACGCGGGGCGCTGTCTCTTCGAGACGAATACCGACACCAAAGGATGGTTGGAAAAAACATAGAGAAAACATAGAAAATGTCGTTCTTGCCGAGGTCTCCGTCATTCGGGGATGGACAGACCACCCTTTAGTAAAACGTGGTTTAGTGAAAACGACCTCGGGCCCAAACCTGGCGGACGCAAGCCTGGAAAATGACGGCCGCGGCGCCTTCTCGAGAACCGAAAACGGGCAATTCACTAATGGACGTGTCACTGTTGGGGGTTCTGTCCACCCCCGAGTCACCCCTGAGTCGACGCTTGCCCCCGAGTCGAGGTCTGACGGCCCTGGGGCCTGGCGAAGGCCTCTGGAGGCCGAACACGGCGACGACCCTCGGTCTTGACTGCCTGTTGGACATCTGGGTTTGCGCAGTGTCTCCCCGTGGAGGAGGAGGGGCGGCGGCCACAGGAGCTTCACCAGACTCGGCCTCGACCACTGTGCGAATCAAGAGGCCGCCAGGCAAACTGCGAACACCACACGAGCCGACCTGTGATGGGCATACTCATGCACTGCCCCGCGCCCTCAAAACATGTTTTTCGTCAGCGGCGAAGCGGCGAACTCCGCTCAAGCGAGAAGCTAGATAGGGACACTAACTCGCGAATTGGCCGGCGAGCAAAGAGGGAAGGGGGACGGCCGAGAGGAAGAAGGGACGCTCAGACGCAGAAGACTTCGACGATGAGCAGCGGGGGGGGCAGGCCTCAAAACCTGCACCTGCGTGCCCAGGGTCGCCTGTCGGGTTGCGGCGTTCCCGCCTCCTCGTTCCTCTCCTCCCTCCAGTGGTCTGGGCTTGCTCCACTAAAGGAGCCCGGGGACACACACACACAAATAAATACACACAATCCCAGGATTCCCCTTTTTTGTTTCCATATCTCCTGGGTTTCCGTCCTCCCCCCACTTCCCACATTTTCCCAACATCTTTCTGGGGATCGACGATTCATTGCGTCTGTGTGTCTGTGTTCCCCTCCTGATCTGCGGCGACGGGCCTCCGTCGTCCCACGTGAACTTGCCCCAGCCGTGCCGGTCGTCGCCGCGCAGCTGGCCCTCGAACGTCGAGGAGTCCTGCGGAGAGGCGGCGCTCGAGGGGCCCCCGTGCGTGCCGCTCTCCCGCGGCGGCGGCGGCGTGCCTCCTGCGGCTTCGGCGGCGTGCCAGGGGGCTTCAGGCGGGAGGGGGCGGGCCCGACGACACGCAGGAGTGGCCATCCTCCTGCTCCTGCTCCTTCGCCGCCGCCGCCTCCTCCTCCTCCTCCTGCTCCCCCTGCTCCTCCTGCTCCTGCCCTTACTCCTCCTCCGCCTCCTCCTGTTATGATTCTTATTATTATTCGTATTACTCTTATTAGTAGGTCTTAGTATTCGTATTATCATTATTATCATTATTCGTCTTATTACTAGTACTAATGTTATTCATCCTCTTCGTAGTATTATTAGTGTTCTTATTATTAGTTGTATTAGTCTTGTGTTTCTTACTCGTAATAGTATTATTGGTATTCGTCTTCTTCGAGTTATTATTATTAGTATGCATGTTATTATGATTCTTCTTAGTATTAATATTAGTATTCGTATTATTGTTATTCCTATTATTATTAGTAGTATTCCTCTTTTTCTTAATATCATTCGTCTTAGTAGTAGTATGATCATTCGTCTTAGTATTAGCATTCGTATTATCATTAATATTTGTATTAATAGTATTCGTAATGTGATTGATCGTATTCGTCTTCTTGTGATTATTAGTATTATTAGTATGCTTCTAAGTATTCGTATTAGTATGCTTAGTATTGGTATTATTCGTATTAGTATTATTATTGATATTATTAGTATTACTCTTCTTCTTATTATTCCTCCTCCTCCTCCTCCGCCTCCTCCTCCTCCGCCTCCTCCGCCTCCTCCGCCTCCTCCGCCTCCTCCGCCTCCTCCTCCTCCTTCTCCTCCTCCACTCCTCCTCCTCCTCCGCCTCCTCCTCCGCCTCTTCCTCCGCCTCTTCCGCCTCCTCCTCCGCCTCCTCCTCCTCTCCTCCTCCTCCTCCTCCTTCCTCCTCCTCCTCTCCCTCCTCCTCCCTCTTCCTCCTCCTCCTCCTCGCACGTAGCTCTCTCCTCCTCCTCCTCTCCTCCTCCTCCTCCTCCTCCCTCCTCCTCCTCCTCCTCCTCCTCCTCCTCCTCCTCCTCTTCCTCCTCTCCTCCTCCTCCTCCTCCTCCTCCTCCTCCTCCTACTCCTCCGCCTCCTCCTCCTCCTCCTCCTCCTCATCCTCCTCCTCCTCCTCCTGCCTCCTCCTGCCTCCTCCTCCCTCCTCCTCCTCCTCCCTCCTCTTCCTCCTCCTCCTCCTCCTCCTCCTCCTCCTCCTCCTCCTCCTCCTGTGGAGCGCGGCTGTAACGGGGCCGCGGGGCAGGCCAGGTCCAAGCAACTCGAGCGCACCAGCCAGTGCCGGCGGGACCCTGGTGTGCCCGCGTCACAGGCCGTTGCGGTGAAATGTCACTCCTGCGCGTAGCGGCATGAAGGGGCCCTGGGACACACAAATAAATACACACATATGAACATGTTCCCCATATTTGCAATATTTTCTGGGTTTTTGTCTTCCCCACCACTTCCCATAGTTTCCCACATTTTCGGGGGAATCGACGATTAATTGTGTCTGTGTTTTTGTCCCTCCTGACGGCAGGCCTCCTCAGAAGGCGGCGGGGTTCCTCAGAAGCCGTCTGGCCTTCTGAAAGGTGCTGCGCGTCTTCGGGGAAGGCTTGGGGACCCCCCTCCTTTCGCCCTCCGGCAGATACCCCCCCTTCCTTTCCCGAAGCGGAGCGGGGGCTTAGCTACTCCCCCCCCCCCTCCTTTGGACCGCCCCTGCCGGAAGCCCCCCCTCCCCCCTCCTTTTTGTCCGCCCCTCGGAAGCTGCCCCCCTCCTTTCTCAGAAGGGGGGGGGGGGCTTAGCTACCCCCGCTCTTGGACCTAACCTCCCCTGCCGAAGCCCCCCCCACACCTCCTTGCGTCAACTCTCCGGAAGTGACGTTCCCCCCCCCCCCACCAGGCGCCGAACACACACACACACACACACACACACACACACACATAAATATACATACATACATATATATACACCCATATACATATGTGTATGGCATAAACACACAAAAACGAACAAACAACAAAAACAAGCAAAACAAATAAAAAAAATGAAAATAGTAGTAGTAGTAGTAGTAGTAGTAGTAGTAGTAGTAGTAGTAGTAGTAGTAGTAGTAGTAGTAGTAGTAGTAGTAGTAGTAGTAGTAGTATAGTAGTAGTAGTAGTAGTAGTAGTAGTAGTAGTAGTAGTAGTAGTAGTAGTAGTAGTAGTAGTAGTAGTAGTAGTAGTAGTAGTAGTAGTAGTAGTAGTAGTAGTAGTAGTAGTAGTAGTAGTAGTAGTAGTAGTAGTAGTAGTAGTAGTAGTAGTAGTAGTAGTAGTAGTAGCAGTAGTAGTAGTAGTAGTAGTAGTAGCAGTAGTAATAATAATAATAATAATAATAATAACGATAATGCTAATAATAAGTGCGAAAACCCACGACGCCCAGAATACCCAAACAACAAAAAATCGCGAGGGCAAGCAGCCCCCAAGGAGCTGCCACCGAGACGAGCGGCCCCAGAGGGGGACACGACGACGGGGAACCCAGAATCGAATCGACGAGTCGGATCCGCGATCGAAAGGCATCGGATCGGCGGAAATCGGCATGCCGGCATGCAGGCATACCACCGTCGAGACATCGGCGCCCGAAGCGGAACCCGAAACCGAGATCGAATCGGAACCGGAGGCCACCGAAAGCGAATCGAATCGAAGCGGCGGCATCGAAACGAGCCCTGCCTCGAGCGATCCCCACATATATGAGGGGCAACGATAGGGGGTGACTGGCTCAGGGGGGGGAACATCGACCTGGAATCGGCGATACATCACCGACGGATCGGCGATAGGCCCCCGATTGTGATTCCGCACGTTCCGGGGCAGGTTGGGCTATCGAGCCCCTATCTGCAATCAATGGGCGAGTGGGGGTCGACGCACCCCCCCCTATGCCTATCCCCCCCCATCGTTGCTCGAGGCTGGCCAAGAGGGCGGCGTCGAAGGGGGGGGGGCGCATAACATGGCCGTCGGCATGCGGGCGGCCCAGGGGGCGGGCCAGGGACGCAGCGAGATAAGAAGAGGCGCAGGGAAATCTGGGGAACTACCATTAGGGGAAGAAAAATTTGCATAAACGGAAAAACTCGGAGGTCCGCGCGGATTTCTCGGATCGGCGCTGGAGGCGCCGCCGGAGCGCGCCAGGGGGCGGCGCTGGAGGCGCCGCCGGGGGGCCCCAGCGCCGATCCGAGAAATCAGCGCGGACCTCCGAATTTCTATGTTTATGCACTTTTTGTTCCCCTAATCATGGCCGGCGCCATGACATCCACCCCCTCCAGTCATCACCCCCCCATGGCCGCCCCCCGAGTTGCCCCTGGCTGGAAGGCGAGCCGAGCGATGCCCGAGCAGCACCACAGGAGCCGAGCGATGCCCGAGCAGCACCACAGCACAGCCCGGGCCTGGTGCCCTCTGCCGCGCCGTCGTCCGTCCTTCGTCGAAGGCGCACGCGGCGGGACACACCCGGGAAGCACCGGGCGCGCACTCTTGCGGCCTGGCGGCCGCAGCATGCAGGAGGAGGAGGAGGCGGAGGAGGAGGAGGAGGCGGAGGAGGAGGCGGAAGAGGAGGAAAAGGAGGAGGAGGAGGAGGAGGAGGAGGAGGAGGAGGGGGCCGCCGCTGGGCTCGGCGAATCCACTGGGAGCATCTCAACCATGACGTCGACAGCCACAGTGCGAATCCGATCTTCGCAGGCACGGCCGAGCGGGCCGAACCAGCGAGTAGCTGCCTGCAGGACGAGTCAGAGCGAGAGGCAGCTCGGGTCCCGCGCAGCAATCCAAGAACGCACGAAATCAGCAATGTCGTCGTCATCCGCTCTCACAGTCTCGGAGTCACTGTCCACATGAAGAGGGTCTGGAGCAGAAGTACTCGCACACATGGGTTTTCGAAGTCCATCATCGGCGGCTCCGTGCCTCAGGACCTCGGGGCCTCCATCTCCCCTGTACCGACACAGCGGAGCCACAGCATCGTCAGAGAGAGGGGCACGGATAGGTGCCACGTAGACTTCGGGGCCCCCATCTTCGCATGTCAAGCCCACAGAGATCACAGTATCAGCAGACGCGGACTCGACCAAGCCAGTAACAAGAGCAACCAAGGAGGTCATATCCGACATGTACTCCCCGACGAGTGCAGAATCAGATATTGCACCTGCACTGTACCGAGGACCGCCAGGAACAGCACCACGAATGGGTTTTCGAAGTCCATCATCGGCGGCTCCGTGCCTCAGGACCTCGGGGCCTCCATCTTCCCCATACTGACACAGAGGAGCCGCAACATCGTCAGAGAGAGCCCCAACATCATCTTGAGCATCGGCGCGAGTGGGTTTTCGAAGTCCCTCATCGGCTTCAGCGGAATGCCTCAGGACCTCGGGGCCTCCATCTTCCCCACTCCCACTCCCAGGAGCTACTGCATCGTTGAGAAGAGCCTCAGCCGTGTCAACGACGAAATCAGCAAAGAGATGTGTCTCATCTGGACCGCCCGCGTCAACATAGACAGTGTCAGAAAAGGAGGCACGAATAATATCATCCATACTCACCATTCTTCCTGCAAGAGCAGGATCCCTGTCTTCCCACCCAGAACGCAAAACAGCACCAGGAACACTATCGCGAATGGGTTTTCGAAGTCCCTCATCAGCCTCTCCATCTTGCCTCGGGACCTCGGGGCCTCCATCTTCCCGATCAGAGCCGCCAAAAAGCACCGCGTCGTAGTCGGCATCAGATGGTAGCAATGTGCCTCCAAGCACGTCCCAACCATCGTCCGTCTCAAAAGGCTCATCGCCGCAATCGTAGTGCACCATGTCGATTGCGTCGCCCGCGGGGTCGCTGGTGGTTTCGTAGGGTTCGTCTCCAAATTCGTAGTGCATCGAATCGATGATATCCTCCCGTGGGTCATCACGCGGGCGGTCCGAATCCTCATCTTCCTCAGAACCATCGTTACCCACCACCCCAGCCTCCAGCGGTCCACCGCACAATTCTCTAAGGAGTATGTCCGCCGCATCACCTGCACGGGGAGGGAGACGAAGAGAAAGTGGAGCAGCCGGCACAAACTCGGCAGCATGAGGATTCAACTTTCCACCAACAACATCGACAGGATCAATATGGTCAAAAATCCGAATCACCACAGGTGTGCTAGGGGGAATCTTCCATCGCCGATGCCGCGCACTGTTACCTCGTACCCGCATCATGTCCATCCGAGCCCAAGCCGCGTGAGAGAAAACACCACGCTCCTGCGTCATGTCCAGCATACCGTGCAGCGACCTACAATGGGGGATACCATGCACAAGCTCCAGAGAGCGCTGCAAACTCGAAGACTGCGCGATGTCGTGCATACGACTTTGTATGGGGAAGTCAATCGAAGGCGCGACCGGACCGTGGTCCAATTCATGTCCAAGAGCAACAAGACTGAGTGCAGCCTGGGCGAAGTGTACTGAATTATGCATACCAACCTTAGCAGTTTCCCCAAGGCATCGCAGAACACCAAGAGAAAAATTAACCGCTCTCCGGTCAGCAGCCTTAGCACCCCCTGGCGCCAGGGGGGTAACGGAAGTCGGCATCAATCACGTAGCACCGAGGAGCACGTACATCACGCCCACTGGGACACACACACGCCGTGCGCCGAGGGGCACGGCCAGCAGACACCATGGGGCACGGACGCGCGGGCCGCGGCAGGCTCTTGAGCCAAAATGGCTACGGCTGAGGAGGGGGCGGAGGAGGACGAGGAGGAGGAGGAGGAGGAGGAGGAGGAGGAGGAGGAGGAGGAGGAGGAGGAGGAGGAGGAGGAGGAGGGGGGGGAGGAGGGGGCGGAGGAAGAGGGGGCGGAGAGGAGGAGGAGGAGGAGGAGGAGGAGGAGGAGGGGGCGGAGGAGGAGGAGGAGGAGGAGGAGGAGGAGGAGGAGGAGGGGGCGTTTCTTATTCGGCGTTTCGTTTCGACATTGGGCGGGGGGGGGGGGGGGGGGCGGGGTCTGGCTCCAGACCTCTGTTCAGTGCGACTGCTTGCAACCGTGCGCCCCTATGGGGGGGGGGCTCCACCTGCTCGAAACAGGCGCCAAAGACAGCCAAGATCTACTCCATGGGGGGGGGAGGGGGGGGGGGCGAGGGCCCGCGCCGATCCCGATCGGCAACGCAATGAATAAAAAAGCGATCACCAGGATGTGCGAAGCGGGTCGGGAATTTGCTCTTCGACCTGGCAGCCCCGACCTGCCGGGTGGAAGAAGAGGGGAGCGCTGTCCTAGAAGAAGAAGAAGAAGAAAACATAAAGAAACAAACAAAGAACAAAAAAACGCCATGAACATGAACTGCTGGCGCTCCGCGGGGATTTCTTGGATCCGCGCCAGGGGCGGCGCCGGAGGCGCCGCTAAGGAGGCCCGGGCGCAGATCCAAGAACTCCGCGCGGAGCGCCAGAAATTCATGTTTGTGGCGCTTTTTCTCCTTCCATAGTTCTTCAACCTGACAGCCCCGACCTGCCGGGCGGAAGAAGTGGGGAGCGCTGTCCGGCAGCACCACCTTCTCGTAGGTGAGAGGCTCCGCGGTGATGGCGTCGGCGACCTGGCCGAAGCGCGGCGGCGGCTCTAGAGAGGAGGCGGCCACGAGCCCACTGGCACCTTCACGTACGCCTCTCTCGGGGGCAACGCTGGGGGGAGATAGGCTCAAGGGTGGGGGAACCAAGAGGCACCGATACCGCTACTCTCTGGGCCTCTCCTGGGGTGCGCTCTGACCAGGAATTCGAGGCGAATCCAGCGGCGGCGACGAGGGCCGCCCGGGAGGTCCAGAAAAGGGGAAAACGAGGTAAGGGTAGAGGTATGGATACCTTTTCCTCCTCTGAAGGGGGGATGCATCGACCACCATTGACCGTCCATCGCCGATAGAGGCCCGATAGGAGTGCACGGTTTGGCCAACGACCCCCTTGGATAAGGAACCGAACCCCGGGCCTGGAAGCCATTGGGACTCCAATCGCGGTTCGGCCATGGCTATCACCGCCGCCCTCTCACCAATAAGGAGTCCTCCAAGGCCTGTCGGGAAACCAAAAGGTACTGATGCCGCTACTCCCCGAAGCTCTCCTGGGGCGCATTCTGACCAGCATTTCGACGCGAATGTCAACGAGGGTCACCCAGATGGCCCAAAAAGGGGAAAACAAGTGAAAGGTAGCAGTATGAGTATGGGTACCTTTTCCTCCTCCAGAGCTCGCAGCCTCCTGGGCAAATTCCTTGCCGAACGCACTCACCGTAGTCCCCTCCGTGCGACGGCACAAGCGCTGCGGCCGGGTCCAGCTCGAACCGTCGGCGCCCTTGCCCCTCGCAACCCAGCCAGCGCCTGTTACCTCCTTACCCTCCTCCTCTTCCTCCTCGTTCTCCTCCTCCTCCTCCTCCTCGTCCTCCTCCTCCTCCTCCTCCTCATCATCATCATCATCACCACCACCACCACCATCATCATCATCACCATCATCACCATCATCATCATCATCAGCAGCATCATCATCATCATCAGCATCATCATAATCATCATCATCATGACCACCAACAGCATCATCATCAACATCGTCATCATCATCATCACCATCACCATCATCATCATCATCATCATCATCATCATCATCATCATCATCATCATCAGCAGCATCATAATCGTCATCATCAGCATCATCATCAACATCAGCATCATCATCAGCAGCAGCATAATACACAGCATCATGATCATCATCATCAGCATCACCATAATCATCATCATCATCAGCATCAGCATAATCAGCATCATCATCAGCCTCATCATCACCATGAGCATCATCACCACCATCATCACCATCATCATCAACATCATCAATACCATCATCAACAGCATCGTCAACAGCATCATCAACAGCATCGTCGTCGCCATCGTCATCAGCAACATCAACAGCATCGCGGTCATCATCATCGCAATCATCATCAACCGCCGCAGACACACACCATCACTGCAACTATCATCATCATCAGCATCATCATCATCATCATCATCACCACAATCAGCATCAACACAATCATCATCATCATCATCAACATCATCAGCATCATCCCAATCCTCATCCTCACCATCAGCATCAGTACCATCACCACGAGCACCACCATCGTCATCATCATCGTCGTCTCCGTCGTCATCATCATCATCATCATCATCATCATACACAGCATCATGATCATCATCAGCATCATCATCAGCAGCATCATCACAATCGTCATCGGCATCATCATTATCAGCATCACACTCATCATCATCATCATCATCATCATCACCATCATCATCATCATCACCATCATCAACCTCCTCCTCATCCTGATCCTCATCAGCATCATCAGTGTCATCATCAGTGTCAGAATCATCATCATCGTCGTCATCATCATTAGCATCATCATCATCACCATCATCATCACAATCAGCAGCATCATCAGTATCGTAGTTGTCGTCATCATCATTATCATCATCGGCCGCATCATCATCATCACCACCACTAGCATCGTCGTCATAATCATCATCATAATCATCAACATCATCGTCATGAACATCAACATCATCATCAGCAGCACCATCATCATCCATCAGCATCACCCATAATCATCATCGTCATCATCGTCATCGTCATCATCATCGTCATCGTCACCACCAGCACCATCAACATCATCATCATCATTATCATCATCCTCATCATCATCAACATCAGCATCAACATCATCATCAGCAGCAGCATCAGCATCATCATCAGCATTAGCATCGTCACACGTCTCCTCCTCCTTCACCTCCTCCTCCTCCTCCTCCTCCTCCTCCACCCTCCTCCCTCCTCATCCCTCCTCTCCCCGCCTCATACTCGTCGTCATCGTCATAGCCACCACCATCATCAGTATCACCATCGTCAACGGCATCATCATCAGCAGCAGCACTATCATCATCATCATCATCATCATCATCATCATCATCATCATCATCATCATCATCATCATCAGCGGCAGCAGCAGCAGCATCAGTATCATCATCAGCATCAGCATCAACATCATCAGCATCATAATCACATTGTGATCATCCGCCACCGTGCCGCTGGGCACATGCCGGGCGTAGCACTCCTGAGGAGTCTTGAAGGACCCAGAGCCCAAATTGCCAAACTTGCGGGGCTTGTCGCGTGCCCTCTGGGCTCCCACGCTACTTGTCGCAGGACTTTTCCGGTCCCGAACAGGCTCTAACACGGGCCAAGAGGGCCCCGAGACGCCGAACGATCGCTCCGCGACGCTCAAGATGGCCCCAATACGGCCCAAGGGGCCGCCAAGACGCCCCAACAAGCCTTCAAGAAGCCTCCAAGGAGGCCTCCCAAGATGGCCACAAGAGGCGAAACTCATTTGTTGTGTTCCTGAGGTGTTTGAAGAATGTTGACGGTCTCGCCTGTTCTGTTTCTAGACGCTGCACGACGGCCCAAGAGGCCCCCAAAGACCAGCCCAAGACGGCCCAAGAGGCCTCCAAGATGGCCCCAAGTCGGCCTAAGAGCGCCTGAAGACGGCCCAAGAGGCGCCCAACAGAGCCCAAGAGGGCCCCAAGGCGGCCCCAAAAGGTGCCCAAGAGAGGGAACACGAACCGGAAATCGGGGCATTCCGACCCAAGGGGCCAACAGGAAGCCCCAAGAGGCGTTCAAGAGGCCCGAAGAACCCCCCGAGAGGCCCCGAAGAGGCCTCAAAACGGCCCCCAAGAGGCATCAAAACTGCCTCCAAGAGGCCCCCCACGAGATCCCAACGAACATCGAATAGGCTTCATACCCACAACCCAGGCACGGTGGCGGGATCGGCCAAAGGCCATTGGATCCGCCGCCCCCTGCTTGCAGGGGTGCACGGCGTGCTGGACGAGCTGGACGTTTCAGGTTTTGGTTTTGGCTCTTTTTCTAGAAAGAACTCCCCAGTGGGCTTCGGCCCGTCCCGCCGGCCACCCGCAAGTTTCCGAAAATCCGTCTGTCAATGCCTTTGTTGCCCCAACTTGGCCCAAGATGGCCTCCAAGACGGCCAAGATGGCCCAAGATGGCCTCCAAGATGCCTCCAAGACGGCCAAGATGGCCTCCAAGACGGGTAAGATGGCTCCAAGATGCCTCCAAGACGGCCCAAGATGCCCTCCAAGACGGCCAAGATGGCCCCAAGATGCCTCCAAGATGGCCCAAGAGGCCTCCAAGACGTTCTCCAGGAGAGCCCGAAGAGGCCAAAATCATTGGTTTTCCTTAGGTTTTTGAAGGTTTTTGCGTTTTCTTCTTTTCGGCCTTCCGACGGCCCAAGAGGCCCCCAAGATCGCCCAAGAGGCCTCCAAGAAGGCCCTATGACGGCCCAAGGGCCCCCCAAGACGGCCCCAAGAGCGCCCCAAGACGGCCCAAGAGGCCTCCAAGACGCCCAACATGGCCTCCAAGACGGCCCTGAAGCGCCCCAAGAGGGCCCCAAGACGGCCCAGAGAGGCCCCCAAGACGGCTCCAGACGGCGTCAGACGGACCAGGAACGCCCTAAGACGGCCAAAGAGACCCCCAGGAAGCCCCCAAAGGCCCCCAAGAGGCCCAAGGAGGCCCCCAAGATGCCTCCAAGAGGCCTCGAAGAGGCCCCCAAGAAGCCCCCAACAGACCCCAAGGGTGCCCCAAGAGACTCCTAACAACCCTCATCCTCCTACTCTATTTCTTCCTCTTCCTCTTCCTGTTCATAATCATTCTCTCCCATGTGTTCCCCGAAAGCTTTCCAAACCGACTCGGGGAACTCATGGTCCGAAAGCTTGGCCAAGCTCTAGTCCAACTTTCGGCCACATCGGCGTTTCCAAAAAGGCAGGGGGCGGCGGTGATTCGCCGTAGGCGTCTTCGATCCGCCGCCCCCTGTTGGCTTGCCACAGGGGTGCCCGGCGTGCTGGACCCTTTTGGTTCTGGTTTTGGTTTTTTCCAAAAGAACTCTCCCCTGGGGCTCCGGCCCGTCCCGCCGGCCACCTGGAAGGACCCGGAAGGGATCGCAAGAGATGGTTGCAAAGGCTTTTCCTGCTCCAGACGGCTCCAAGATGGCCCAAGCTGGCCTCCAAGATGCCTCCAAGATGGCCAAGATGGCCTCCAAGACGGCCCAAGAGGGTCCAAGATACTTCCAAGTC